ACAAAGAGTTGTTCTTGGCTGGGGCTGCCTTTTATCTGCTGCTATCTCCCACCACTGGCCTTCTCATCATTGACTTTGATTAGATACCTTTCTAGTGGGTGAGATTGTTTTTTAACTGACTCACTGTGAGATACAGTTACAAGCTTTCATGTTTGAGTTACATTCATAAAATGATCAATGCCACCAATCTCCCCAGTATACCCCTCTTCCCCATACTCCCCCTGCCTCCATGGCAGACAATTGTCCCCATACTTTCTCTCTCTCCTGTTGGGCATTATGGTTTTCAATACAGAGACTGAGAGGTTATCATGTTTGGTCCTTTATCTACTTTCAGCACACATCTCCCATCTGGAAGGATTTCTCCAACCGTCATTTTCTTAGTGATCTCTTCTCTATTCCAGCTGCCTTCTCCCTCCACTCATAAGGCAGGCTTCCAACTATGGAGCAATCCTCCTGACCTTTGTGTCTCCTGTCCTTGGGTGTAAGTCTCATGTTTTTTTATTTTACATGGCACAAATGAGTGCAGTCCCTTTATGTCTGTCCCTCTCTTTCTGACTCATTTCACTGAGCATGATACTCTCCACATCTATCCACTTATAAGCAAATTTCATGACCTCATCTCTTCTAATAGTTGCATAGTATTCCACTGTGTAGATATACCAAAGTTTCGGTAACCAGTTGTCTGTTTTCAGGCACTCGGGTTGTTTCCAGATTTTGGCTATTGTGAACAGTGCTGCCATGAACAGCACTAGGTACAGATGTCATTTCTACTCTTTTTTTTTCAGTGGGTGAGGTTTTTACTGACCAATCAGATGAACTAGCTCCCCACCCTTCCACATCCACTGTATTGCAGAGGTTTGGAAGTCCATGACTCTGGGGTTTATTAGTCGACTTTTAGAGATAGAGTTCTGACTCCTGACCAGCCAGCTGTCCAGCTGTCTTCTTTGCCTTAGAGCCCAGCAGATCATTCTGCGTTTGGTGTCTGGAGTTCCATGGATGGTTCTGCATTTGGCCATTATACCTGTCTTCACACATGATCCACTTATTGTACATTTCCTACATTCAGTGTCTCATCTGCAAGATTTTCATCACCGCTGAGATCTTAGAGGGTATGTGTGGGCTGGCATGTATTCACATACACACATACACACACACGCACGTGCACGACCACATGGATGCAGCTCAAAGATTCTCTCATCACTTTGTCTTGGGGGCTTGGTACCCCAAAGTACCAGTTATGCTTGCTTACAAGTTTCATTCAAAGGGACCTGAGGTTTGCTCCAGGGACTGGCTGGTGCCCGGGCTTCTCCCCTGGGTTCGAGTACTTTGCTAACTGAGCTATTGTCACACAGGCAAAGGAATTTTCCCAGGCCAGAGACGGAGGACAGACTGGGTGCCATCTCCAACCTTGGCCAGTTGCAGAAAGTTGGTATGGAGGAGCAGTAGGACAAGGATTGTGTGGTCAGGAGCCAAGTGACCATAAGCCTCAGTGGGAGTTAATCATCCAGAGCTCCTCTCATCACACTGGCCTCCCCTTTGGGTCCTGAGAGAATTTCTAGACTGACCATTTCTTTTTCTTTTTTCTTTTTGGGTCACACCTGACGATGCTCAGGAGTTACTCCTAGCTCATGCACTCAGGAATCACTCCTGGCAGTGCTTAGGGGACCATATGGGATGCTGGGAATCGAACCCGGGTTGGCCGCATGCAAGTCAAATGTCCTGCCCACTGTGTTATCACTCCAGTACACCATTTCTCTTTTCTTTTCATTTACAATGATGATGATGATGATGATGATGATAATGTTGATGATGATGCGTTTGGACCATGCTCAGCAGAAACTCTTGGCTCAGTGCTCCCAGGTCCCTTCAGTGTCTCTCAGGGCACCTGAGGAACAAACTTGGGCCTCCGGCATGTGAACCCAGGTGTGGCTATGTTTTAACAAAAGCAAACAAGTCTCTCTGCTTTATACGATTCATACAGTTTTTTATATACTCACAAACAATAACTGCATTTCTGAACCTTGGAGACGGCTAAAAACAGAAAAGCCCCCAGCCCCTCCCACCTCTCCAGCCCAATCCCTCTCTCTCCCCACAGCTCTCCCCGCAGCTAAAATCTTATCTCCCTCAGGCCTGACCTGGCACCAACCACTTCCTGTGCTGTTTAATCAAGTGGAGAGAGCCACAAACACCTGGACAAATACTTCGAGTCCTTGAATGACTAATTATTCCCTCATCCTGCTCAGTAAATGTACATATTTTAATCCCATTTTTTTTTTAAGTAGGGAGGAGTTGCCTAAAAATAGAGACCTACCTCTAAAGGCACCCAACCTGCATACGGAAAAGTGCCTGTGGTGTGTTTATACACTCCAGCAACCTGGAGGAAGTCTTCCAAATCCCTCAGGATGTAGCCCTGCCTGGCCTTGAGAAATTAGCTGAAGTACCTGGTAAACAGTTCTCAAACAGCCATGGCCAACCTTCAGCAGCCCTTTAACAGATCTTGTCTGTTGGGGTAGCACAGCGGTAGGGTGTTTGCCTTGCACACGGCTGGCCCGGCCGATCAGGGTTCGATTCCTCCGCCCCTCTCAGAGAGCTCGGCAAGCTACCGAGAGTATCCTGCCCTCTTGCAAAGCCTGGCAAGCTCCCCGTGATGTATCCAATATGCCAAACACAGTGATGACAAGTCTCACAATGGAGACGTTACTGGGCCCGCTCGAGCAAATCGATGAACAATGGGAGGACAGTGACGGTGCGGTGCAGTCTGTTGAGGTACCCCATGGGTAAATTCTTATTTTACTATCAGGAGGAAGAGAGATCATATAAAAAAAAGCACAATGGAGGAGGCAGGGAGGGGGAGGAGTGAGGAGGGGGAGGGAAAGATCTTTTTCGGATCAACTGATTCAGATTGGGTTTTAATTGTTTTATTTTTATTTCATTTATTTATTTATTTTTGGCTTTTTGGGTCACACCCGGCGATGCACAGGGCTTACTCCTGGCTCTGCACTCAGGAATGACTCCTGGCGGTGCTCAGGGGACCCTATGGGATGCTGGGAATCGAACCTGGGTCGGCCACGTGCAAGGCAAACACCCTCCCTGCTGTGCTATCGCTCCAGCTCCGGGTTTTAATTTTTTTTCATCAAAAGGCACTGGGATTTACAAAGTTATTCATAGCTGAATTTCAGGCATAGACTGTTCCAGCCTCAACCCCATCACCAATGTCAACTCCCCTCTACCAACGTGTCCATTTTTCCTCCCCTCCCCCGGCCCCCCAGCCTGCCCCCTTGACAGGCATGTTTTTAAGTTTGGTTGTTGTTTGAATCTTGTTCTTCCAGTTCTGTGCGTCCTGTGATTCGAATATACAGATACACGTACAACTCTGTGGCACTGATGCGTATCTGAGGCCCCTGCCTCCTGCCCCTGCACCTCCTGACCGCCTCTTCTGACATCATCCCTCAATTTTGTTCCTTTCCTACCCTTCTGAGGTCTATAATCTAGGGCCGGAGATATGAAAGTATAGTCGTAGGGTGCTTGCCTTGCATACAGCGGATGTGGATTCAGTCCCCACACCATTTAGGGTCCCTGAGCCCCACCGGAAGTGATCCCTGAGAGCAGAACAGGAGGAAGCCCTAAGCATTGCCAGGTGTGCACCCTTACATGTCCCCCCCAAAAAAAACTATAAAACCAACTTTATTTATTTATTTGCTTTTGGGGGGTCACACCCAACGATGCAGAGGGGTCGCTCCTGGCTCTGCACTCAGGAATTACCCCTGGCAGTGCTCAGGGGACCATAGGGGATGCAGGTCAACCGTGTGCAAGTTAAACGCCTTACCTGCTGTGCTGTCGCTCCAGTCCCCCAACTTTATTTTATTTTATTTTTTGCTTTTTGGGTCACACCCAACTTTAATTTGAATTTCAGGTCCAACAGATCATGGCTTTGCCATAAGATGTGATCTGAGCTATGTATCCACTTGGGTAGGTCCTCAGTTTCCCTCTCGGTGAAATGGATGGCTGTGTGTGTGTGTGTGTTTTATCCCGTTTCTCAGGACTAAGAGGTTTCTCACAGGGTTTCCCCATTCCCAGCCCCAAGAGGCAGAAGAGTTAGTGACAGCCTCCCCTTCTCCCACCCGCCCTCCGCTTTCTTCTGCTGGTATTGTGCTTTCAGAGATGGAGAGAAAAGACCAGCAAAAAAAAAAAAAAGTAGGACTGGAGACAATACAGCAGAAAGGGTATATGCACATTCGATCCCAGAATCCCATATGATTTCCCCTGAGCACCATCACCAGGAGTAATTCCTGAGCACTGCCGGGTGGGACCCCCCCAAAAAAAAAACAAAAATTAAAATTAAAAAAACAGAGAGAAATGCAGATGGAAATTCTCATGAACGTTTGCAAGTAAGTATCAAGCATACACAGAGCCCTCTCTGCCCCTATCCCACCCCTATGTCCACACCCTGAGAATGACAGAGCTCTATAAATACGCAGGGATTGGCTAGTCCGGAACAGACAGGAAGATCTGCAGGGGCAAACACTTTCAGCGCCACAGCAGGATTCAAATAGAGGCAACGTCCCTCTAGATATTCTCCGTCACAGCTTTTCCTGCACAGCTGGAGATCAAACCAGCCTTGACTTCCTGCCCTACCCTCCACGAGAGCATCCAAGGACCACTGTAGAGTCAGCAGGAGACCAAACGGACAAATGTTTGTTTATTGAATCCCTACCCAGGAGTTCAGGATGCAGAAGAGAGTCCCACATCCAGTGGGGAAGGTTCTCATCTGGGAGAGGAAGGAAAATACGAATAGGTTGGACCCAGGTGACAACGCAGGCAGGGGAAGAGAGAAGGGAAAGGGGTGAGGGGGGTCCCCAGCCCCTGCACTGGGGAAGGATGTTGCTCTCCTCTTCTTCCCCAGGAAGAAACAGGAGCCTCGAGGCATCCTGAGGGGGCGGGGTCAGGTGGGCGGTGAGATGCAGGTGGGCGGTGAGATGCATTGGGGGGAGGGGGCGCCTGGCATCTTGGCCCCTAGAGCCGCTTCTTCCGCCTGCCCCGCAGGTACGTCTGGCGGTAGAAGTTGAGGAAAAGGACGATGAGGCTGAGGGAGTAGAGGAGGACGGCGAGGTTGAACCCATCCGGGAAGGAGCACTCGGCGAAGAGGTTGTAGGAGGCGTGAGCGGCGATGGCCACAAACTGGCCCTGGGGAGAGCAAGAAAGAGTGAGAGACGGGAGCACCAGAGAGCCGGCAGCTCCTCCAGGTCCCTCCAGTTTGGGGGGGGCACAAGGGGGTCTTCTCAAGCAGTGCACTTGGAGTGGGGGCATTCTGGGCCAACCAGGTGAGGGACTCGGTGTCAGGGACCATCAGAGCCAACCGTTTGGGGTTCAGAAGTATCCAGGGCATCACCTGTTGATGTTGGGGGCGGGGGCTCCTACAGCAAGTGGCACTGGGGATCAAACCCAGGACCCTGTACTACTACCATTCTATCTTCCTTCTCTTTTTTCCTTTGTTGGCCTTTTGGGTCACACCCGGTGATGCACAGGGGTTACTCCAGGCTCATGCACTCAGGGATTACTCCTGGTGGTGCTCGGGGGACAGTATGGGATGCTGGGAATCGAACCCGGGTCGGCCACGTGCAAGGCCAATGCTCTACTCGCTGTACTATCTCTCCAGTCTCATCTCCCTTGTCTTAATCACTGTCGGCCAGCAGGGGGCAGGTTCCCATCCCTTTGGAAAAGTTCAATAAAGGGGCTGGAGCGACAGCACAGTGAGTTTGCCTTGCACGTGGCCGACCCGGGTTCTATTCCCAGCATCCCATAGGGTCCCCCAAGCACCACCAGGAGTAACCCCTGAGCATCGCTGGTGTGACCCAAACAGAAAAAAAAAAGTTTAATAAAGAAAGAGATCCCCTCTCGGAGAGCCCGGCAAGCTACCGAGAGTATCTCGCCCACATGGCAGAGCCTGGCAAGCTCCCCGTAACGTATTCGATATGCCAAACACAGTAACAACAAAGTCTCCAATGGAGACGTTACTGGGCCCGCTCGAGCAAATCGATGATCAACGGGAGGGCCTTTACTTTTAAAGAAAGAGATCTAGGAAGAGGTGACTGTTTCTGTTCCTCAACCCACCTTCCCCTCACAGTGACACGCTCCAGCCACCCTGAGCCTCACAATAAATACTCAGAAGGCTGCCATTGTCTTTAGAGACAGGGTCCTCCCCCCCCTACCCCCCGCCCAGACAAGAAGACGGATAGACACTGGGAACTACGTCTGTGAGCGCAGACTCACAGGAAAAAGTGCGTCTAAGCTGTGATACCGAGAGCCCCCAGGTCTCAGCTACCGAGTTCCCCAGGGTGGGGTGCAGGACTGGGTGGAGAAGGGGGTTGTTGGAGCGATAGCACAGCAAGTAGGGTGTTTGCCTTGCACGCAGCTAACCCGGGTTCGATTCCCAGCATCCCATATGGTCCCCCGAGCACCGCCAGGAGTAATTCCTGAGTGCAGAGCCAGGAGTAGCCCCTGTGCATCACTGGGTGTGACCCAAAAAGCAAAAAGAAAAAAAAAAAGGACTAGGGAAGGGGAGGGAGCGAGTTGTTGGCAAGGGGGGTGGGGGGGGCAGCTCACTTCCCACAGCGAGTGGCCGGTGTGAAGGGTGCACCCTGGGGTACCCTCAAGGCCACTGGGTCTCCTCACCAGCTGCAGGATGGTGAGGTGCCGTTTCCACCACAGGTAGGGTCGTGCGCGGGGCCCCAGACTGGCCAGGCCATAGTACAGGTACATGAAGACGTGGACCAGAGAGTTCAGCATCCCCACGAAGAAAGCTGCAGTCAGGGCCGGCAGAGGAGAGAAGACGGATTACGAACTGGATTAAGGAGTCGCTGGGCTCTGCCTCACCCCCCCACCCCCACCCCCTTGCCTCTTTCTGCCCTCCCGGCTGCCAAGCACATATCAGCACATATCAGTCAACTGTAGCACTGTCGAATTGTCCTCCCGTTGTTCATCGATTTGCTCAAGCGGGCACCAGTAACGTCTCCATGGTGAGACTTCTTATTACTGTTTTTGGCATATCGAATATGCCAAAGGGAGCTTGCTTGCCAGGCTTTGCAAGAGGGCGGGATACTCTCGGTAGCTTGCCAGGCTCTCCGAAAGGGGAGGAAAAATCGAACCTGGGTTGACCACATGCAAGGCAAACGCCCTACCCGCTGTGCTATCTCTCCAGCCCACACTGAGGAGAAAATTCCCAGGAAAGTTGGGTTGGCAGGAGTCAGGCCAGAGCATCCCTGGCCCGGGCAGGCGCTATCCGCCTCCCTCTTGGGTCTCTGAGCTGATGGTTCTTGGTCCTGTGTGTCTCTGGCGGCCTCCCCTGCCCCCTGCACCGGGGAGGGGGGGTTGGGAGCCCAGAGGAATAAGGGGCACAAACCAGGAGTTGAGGCCACTCTGGGGGCTAGCTAGGAAGAGGGAATGAGAGGGGAGGGAGGGTTGCCCAGGCCTGGCTGCCTGGTTGCCTACCTTGACCCCCTGGTACGTACTTGACCCCGGCCCACCAGTTCAGGAGCATGGTCCCGTGGTGGTAGACATGCAGAAACGTGAGTTGCTCCTGCTTCTTACGCAGGACAAGAAAGACCTGCAGGGGAAGGAAAATGGTGTTTGTCGGGGAGTAGACTCTTCTGAAATCTCAACAGTCTCTTTTTTTTTCCTTTTAATTTTTTATTTTTAAATGAATCACTGTGAGATGCAGTTACAGACTTACAAAGACGTTCGCGCTTACGTTTCCGTCATACAATGATCGAGTACCCATCCCTCCACCAGTGCCCATTCTCCACCACCAATGGTCCCTCCCACCACCCCCACCCCATGCCCCCCACCCCACCTCGCCTCTGTGGCAGGGCATTCCCTTTCGCTCTCTCTCTCCTTTTGGGTGTTGTAGTCTGCAAGGCAAGTATTGAGTGGCCATCATGTTTGGTCTATAGTCTACTTTCAGCACACGTCTCCCATCCCAAGTGGGCCCTCCAAGCATCCTTTACTTGGTGGTCCCTTCTCTATCTGAGCTGCCCTTTCCCCGAGCCCTGGCTACCTGACCTGGGGTTCAAAGCCTGTTTCAATGCAGGTACATGGCTGGGGGGGGGGGGGGGCGGTAAGAGGGAAGGGGAGGTGCCACCACAGCTCTGTAAATTTAAAAAAGAAAAAAAAAGCAGAATAGGGGTTGGAGCAATAGCACAGCGGGTAGGGCCTTGCACACGGCCAACCTGGGTTCGATTCCCAGCATCCTATAGGGTCCCCCAAGCATGGCCAGGAATAATTCCTGAGTGCATGAACCAGGAGTAACCCCTATGCATCGCTGGGTGTGACCCAAAAAAGCAAAAAAAAAAAACCCCAAAAAACAAAAAAAAAGCAGAAAAGCAAAGGCACATGCACACGTTGGGGGCTGGAGTGATAGCACAGCAGGTTGGGTGTTTGCCTTGCACATGGCCGATCCGGGTTCGATTCCCAGCATCCCATGTGGTACCCCGAGCACCGCCAGGAGTAATTCCTGAGTGCATGAGCCAGGAGGAACCCCTGTGCATGGCCCGGGGTGACCCAAAAAGAAAAAAAAATCCACATTGCTAGCATACAGTTTTTCATCTTCCCATTTTACAGGTGGGAAAACCGAGGTGCAGGGAGTCACCGCCCCCACCAGGAGGCAGCCCTGGAGGGCTGTGAGCGCAGTCTTGGTTTCTGAGTCTGGTTCTCCCTTCTCTGCCAGCACGTTTGTGCTGACGTCTGCTTCAGGCACAACTGCTGGGCCCAGCCAAGAGGACCACAGTGGGGGTCCCGTCTATACCCCAGTCCCGGCGGGTGGCAAGCACCAGGCCCAAGAGTGCAAGAGACCAGGAGACAACTTACCGTGTCCAGCAACTCCACGGCCTTTGAGAAGAAACACCACCAGCACACGCGCGCCATCTGCTGGCAGGAAAGGAAACTTGCATCAGGCGTGGTGGTCGGGCAGGGCTGGCTGCAGACCATTCCTCTGTGCCCTGTTCCCTGCCTGCCACAAGGTGTCTAGCAAGGACCCAAGGGCGAGCAGGGCGAGGCTCCTGAGGTGATAAGAGAAGCCTGAGCTATGCCATGGAAGGGGCCCACCGGGACCTGCTTGGGAGGTTCTTGTTTGCTGCCCAGTGGATTCTGAGTTGGGTGCATTCTAAGTTGGCACACCCAGAGTGGCCACGAGATTCTACTGCTTGTATAAGCTCCCGGGTCATGCAGACACGGCCAGTGCCTGGATGTGTTTTAGGACCCACTCAGCCGGAGAACTGCCATGACAGGTTCTGAGTGACTTAGGCCTCTTCCAGGAACAAGAAAAGCAGAAAAACCAAATGCTTTTGTCAAAGATTACATCCCCGGCGTGAGATTAGGTCTCCGGAATGTAACTGTCGGGGAGTGAGCTGGATGTTACAGCAGGCCAAAACAATCACTGTCACTGTCCTCCCGTTGTTCATCGATTTGCTCAAATGGGCCCAGTAACGTCTCCATTGGAGACTTTGTTGTTACTGTGCTTGGCATATCGAATACAACACGGGTAGCTTGCCAGGCTCTGCCATGCGGGCAAGATACTCTTGGTAGATACTCGGGCTCTCCAAGAGGGGTGGAGGAATCGAACTCGGTTCGGCTATGTTGGCTGCGTGCAAGGCAAACGCCCTACTGCTGTGCTATCGCTCTAGCTCTCGCGATGCTGGGAATCGAACCCAGGTCAGCTGCGTGCAAGGCAAATGCCCTACCCGCTGTGCTATCACTCCAGCCCACACGGCAGAGCCTGACAAGCCACCCGTGATGTATTCGATATGCCAAACACAGTAACAACAAAATCTCCAATGGAAACATTACTGGGCCCGCTCGAGCAAATCGATGAACAACGGGAGGGCCACTCCAGCCCAGGTAATAGAAATTTGCTGAGTAATGCTTATTTGCCAAAAGTATAAGAACTTGCTGAACCTAGTGCTCGGGGTCCTTGTTGAAACCCGGTGCTCTGGGCAGATACTGGGGACCCCAGCTAGCTGGAACAATAAACCTTGCTATGTGATTGCATTATCAGCTCTGTTCTCTGTCTTTGAGGGGTGGTTGACTCTGGACTCTAACAGATGGTACTTTGAGCATTAAGAATATATCCCAACTGCTCTCTGGTGGCCTGGCTTGCTCAGCTCTGTTTGTTTGTTTGGGTGGGGGGGGGGGGGGCTTCCTAGTGGTTCTCAGGAGGCCTGGAGACTCTTCCTGGTGACTGTCCTCCAACCTGACCAGTGGCTCAAAGCAAGACCCCAAGGATGTGGCATTGCTAGAGTCGTATGGCATTAGGGATTACTGGAAACCCCTGGGGGTCCCCGGGAGCCCTCAGAGTGGGCAGGGATGCTCAGGAGGTGGTGGTGGCGATCCACCCAAGGTCAGCTGCCTGCAAAGAATGTTCCTCAGACCCCATGCTAACTCTTCAGCCCCGCCTCCTGATGGGTTTGTTTGCCAGGAACCCTTTTGTTCTGCTTCCAGTTTGAAACTGAGCTGGAAAGAGTGTCAGGCCCAAGGCGAAGTAAGACCCTGGCATGTATTGTCTAATTTGATCTCTTTCCATTGCGATAGCACAGTGGTAGGGTGTTTGCCTTGCACGCAGCCAACATGGCCGACCCGAGTTCGATTCCTCCGCCCCTTTCGGAGAGCCCGGCAAGCTACCGAGAGTATCTCGCTCGCCCGCACGGCAGAGCCTGGCAAGCTCCCCGTGACGCATTCGATGTGCCAAACACAGTAACAACAAAGTCTCCAATGGAGACGTTACTGGGCCTGCTCGAGCAAATCGACGATCAACGGGAGGGCCTTTCCATTGCATCTATTTCCACCACCCCCCATAAAGTAGGTATTAGCATGCCCATTGGAAAGCAAAGAACACAGAGGCCCACCCAAAAGACAGAAGCAACCCAGGCTGACCCAGCAGAGCTGAAGCTCATATAGGCCTCACGAGCCTATGCCTGACCAACTGCTCCCAAAAGAACATTCGATAATGTGCCCTGCTGTAAGCGTTGGTGGTTCTGGAAGTGCATGTTATCAACCCTCTCTGTGCAGGCTGAACATTTCCGCTTCCGGTCGTACCCTCATGCTGAGCTCATTCTGGCTGTAGTCCACTGGCTGGCAGAAGTAGCTGTAGTCGGCCAGGAGGGAGACGGTCAGAAACTGGCAGGGAAGGACAAAGGAAAGAGTCAGTCAGGCGCCCTGCTCCAACGGCAGGGACACCCCCTTCTCTAGTTCCATTCTGGACGCCATCATCCTCCCCAGCACCCTGATGCTTGGTCCTTGGTAACCCTATTGGCTCCATGAGGCGGCCAGATCCAAGAGGGGTCTCTGTATTCATGCTCAAGCCCAGTGATGTGTGATAGGGTCACTGCAGGTCACACATTCACACTGCGTCCACAGTATGTGAGACTCTAAATTGGGGGTTGAAGCTGTCAATGTTAGCAGGCAGCAACCCCATCTCCTCCCTCCCCCGCTCCACCCCTCGGAGCTCAAAAGGGCCAGCATCCAAGATATAGACAAAGTCAAGCACAAAACGTAAAGTAATAAAATAGGAGACTAACACCCAAGAGTGGCTGAGATTAGTACCAGGAGGTTTGCTCCATGGCTTGGAGGCTAGCCACACGTGCTAGGGGAAAAGGGAGCTCAGATAGAGAAGGGAGCACCAAATAAAGGGTGTTGGGAGGATCCTCCCAGGATGGGAGAAGCATGCTGAGCGTAGACTATAGACCAAACATGATTGCCACTCAATGCCTCTTTTGCAGACCACAACACCCAAAAGGAGAGAGAGAACAAAAGGGAATGCCCTGCCACAGAGGCAGGGTGGGATGGGGGGGGATGGGGGGTGGGAGGGATACTGGGACCCATGGTGGTAGAAAATGGGCACTGGTGGAGGGATGGGTACTTGATCATTGTATAACTGAAACCCAAGCGCAAAAATTTGCAAGTCTACAACCATACCTCATGGTGTGTCACTAATAAAAATTAAAAAAAAAAAAGAATAACCTCACTCTCCAAAAAATAAAAAAGGGGCAGAGGAATTGAACAGACACTTTCCCAAAGACCTGTACGCAGATGGCCCTTAGGCATATGGAAGAGTGCTCATCTGATTATTAAGCAAATGCAAACCTAAATGACGGGAGATCACCTTACAACTGTGAGAAATGGCACCTATCAAAAAGACTGCAGACAATCACTGCTGTGGGCATGTGGGGGAAAAGGAACCACTTTCACTGTTGTCGGGAAAGTTGTCTGGTTTATCCTCTAAGGAAAACGGTATGGTGATGTCTTAAAAAAAACAAATCAGGACTATGGCACTATGCCTTAGAGGTAGACAAAGAGGGGTGGGCGTTGTTTGGGAGGTGGGAGGGAAACTGGAGACATTGGTGGTGGGAAATTACACTGGTGGAGGGACAGGTGTTGGAATACTGTATGAATGAAACCCAATCATGAACAGCTTTGTAATGTTCTATCTCACAATGAAAGTATCACTGTCCTCCCGTTGTTCATCGATTTGCTCGAGCGGGCCCAGTAACGTCTCCACTGGAGACTTTGTTGTTACTGTGTTTGGCATATCGAATACATCACGGGTAGCTTGCCAGGCTCTGCCCTGCGGGCGAGATGCTCTCGGTAGCTTGCCAGGCTCTCCGAGAGGGGCGGAGGAATCGAACTCGGGTCGGCCATGTTGGCTGCGTGCAAGGCAAACGCCCTACCGCTGTGCTATCGCTCCAGCCCATCTCACAATGATTCAATAAAAGTAAAAGTTAATATTAAAAATAAATTAATTAAAATCATCTGACGAGGTGCACTGTAGTACCAAAAAAATATTTTTGCTATCTAGTTAGGAGCATTAGTAGCAAGAACACAAAGAGAAATAATCTGTTTTGTAGAAATACTTTAAACTCGTCTGCTGCCTTACAAATGATATGTTAAGATATTAAATTTGTTATGTTCTTAGAGTTCAACCTGGATATGCAGAAAGTGAGAAATTCTCTAATTTTTTTCCCCTAAGAACCATTTCAAGTAAACTTGAGAATAGGCCTAATCGTACTTGAAGGGTTAATTGGTTTTGCTCATTTTATATTCTGCTGTGACAAGATGGAAAAAATTAAATATAGATTATTTAAAATATTTAAATTAATTAAATCTATTATATTTAATTGCGCTGAAGCAATGGCACAGCAGGTAGGGCTTTTGCCTTGCCCGTGACCGACCCGGGTTTGATCCCCAGCATCCCATTGGGTCCCCCGAGCACCGCCAGGAGTAATTCCTGAGTGCAAAGCCAGGAGTAACCCCTGAGCAACTCTGGTTGTGACCCCAAAAGCAAACAAACAAACAAACACCAATTTGAGCAAAAGAAATGCATGCACATGTTGCCTGAACCCATGTGCTGCTTGTACCCGCGTGGCCGAGAACATGTGATGCCCAGGCACACGTGTCTCACGCATCTCCTCTCTTGAGAGGTTGTACTGGGGCTCTCTCCATCATTGCAGAAGTCCGCCTTCTCTCTTGAGCACATCTCTCTCATCTTCTCTCCCTCCTTCCCCTTCCTAAAAGCCTCCAAATAAAATCTGTTTTTCACTCCACTGCTCCTGAAATTCTTTTCTGTGAGAAAGGACGAGGACCTGAAAGGTCTGGGCAAGGTCTGGGACTGCTGCTCTTTTCCTGCAAAGAGCGATTCCCCGCTCCAGCCTGAATCCACGGCTCTCTGAGGAATCGGGTGATGGGGGATCAAACCCCGTTCCCAGAAGGTCAAGTGGGAGTCAGGTGTGGCTCCTCCTCTCGTGAGGCTGGTGGAACTTGAGACCCCTGTATGTTCCCAGAGGCTCACCCAGAGGCTCATCCCAGAGTCTCTGTTTTTTTTTTTGGGGGGGGGGGTCACACTCGGCGATGCACGGGGGTTACTCCTGGCTCATACACTCAGGAATTACTCCTGGTGGTGCTCAGGGGACCATATGGGATGCCGGGAATCAAACCTGGGTCGGTTGGTCATGTGCAAGGCAAATGTCCTACCTGCTGTACCATTGCTCCTGCCTCTTCATCATTCTAGCCACTTTCCCCCCTCCTGTGTCAAGGATTAAATTTAGGGTCTCATTCATAGCAAGCGCACTATTATGATTTTAGACCCCTAATCTCTTAGGTTTTTTTTCTTTTGGGGTTACACTCGGCGATGCACAGGGGTTACTCCTGGCTCTGCACTCAGGAATTACTCCTGGCGGTGCTCAGGGACCATATGGGATGTTGGGAATTGACCCCAGGTTGACCACGTGCAAGGCAAACGCCCTCCCTGCTGTGCTATCGCTCCAGCCCCTCATCCCAGACTCTTTCACCCTAGTCTTCCCAGCTGGCCAGGGGCTGACAGAGGCAGATTGGGAGAAAGTGACCATCTCTCCACCTCATATAAGCCATCAGTGGAGGGCCACTGGCCCCTCAGAAATCCATCCCTTGAAGGAAAGAGACCCTCTGCTCTATGGGGGGTTCCCTCCTTACCTGGTAGAAAATGTACCCCGAAAGAAGCACCAGCCCCAGGTTGTAGGTAGCCAGGGCTCCGGTCAGTTCTAGTGGTGGCCGCTGGCTCATGGCACGTGGACCCACCAGCACCAGGAGAAGGTAGAGGAGCAGGAGCAAGATGACTGGGAGTGGGGAGTACACCAGGATCCAGGCATCCGTCCGTGGGTCTGGACAAGTAAAGATGAGCTGAGGCAGCCCGTGACCCCCAGATACCTGCCCCCAGACCCCGTGGTCTGCCTCGCCAAAAGGCCTTCGGCTGGGGCGGGCTCTGTCTCCTACCTCCGCTTTCCAGGACCCAGGTGTAATGGTCCCAGAGCGTTTCCAGGGCACCAGGCATGGCGAGCATCTGCAAGAGAAGCGAGTTAGTGTCTCATCTCCCTGCCACCCCTACCTTCCCCCAATTGCTCTCTTCCAGGGCCATGCACGGGCCTCACTCCTTGTCCCCGACAACCTACTGTCCCTGGCCTGGGCTTGGACAGTCACCCCTTGAGTGTCTTTGCGGGCTGGCACTTGGTTCCATTCCTCACCCCACAATGTCACTGAATGTGTGCTGTCCACTCTCTGCAGGGCTGTGTGTGGCTAGTCCTTCTTGCAGGACTCCGTGTGGCGATTGTTTGTTAGGGTCCAGGCTCTCCCGCGGGGCTCCTGCTCCCCAGGGGTGGGGTCTTTGCACCCCTGTGCTCTCTATAAATCACTCCCCACTTCCTGGGCTTCACGGCCTCCCACACCTGCCCTCATCCCTCCAGCCCCTCACTCACTGGTTCTTCTGGGCTCCGGGGTGAGGTTTCTGCTGGGCTGTCCAGGCTGCTGTTGGCACTGATCCACAGCTCCTTCCTCTCAGGGGTGTCTGTGTGTGTGTATGTGTTGTGCAGGATGGGACCCCCCGCTCCCAGCAGAAGGGGGTCTGTCCTCAGACACTCTCTAGCCCCCGAGGGCTGAGGAGTGGGTGAGCCCCAACCCCTCAGCACACGCATTCACACACACTCACTCACATGCACACTGAGGCCAGGAATCCAAGCCACTGTCCACGCATTGGCTGGGCACCAGCAATTCTCACAGATCCACGAGGACAAAGAGAACCAGAGGCAGCCCAGGGTGGGCGGAGTGAGATTGGGGCGGGGCTCTATGGGGAGGGGTGTCAGCAATTCTGCCAAGGGATGCCAGGGAGGGGGAGGGCAGCACCCCTGGGGAATCAGGCCGTCCCCTTCCTCCTCAGAGCTTCCCTGGGGACACTGAACCTCTCCTAGCGCTGGCCAGCCACAACCACACCCCACTGGAGTCTGCCTCTCTCCCCCGCTCCTCCCCTGGGGTTAAGGATTAAACGTCTATGTTTCAGGACCTGCTAAACCATCACATTCCTCCCAGCCCTCTCTGCTCTCTGCTTGCCAATAGGCTACTGGTGTGGGGCGGGGGGAGCTGGAACCCCCAGCCGGGAGCAATGCCCCAGTCTTCCCCTTTTCCTCTCTCCCTGGGCCAGGTGTAAAGCAATTCAAAGCCCCAGCTTATGTGGCCCGTTCACCCCTTCACAGAAATAGAACCATCTCTTGGTGTTCCCTCCTCTCCAGTTCCCCGGGAATCCACACCCTCTACACACCCAGACAGAAAAGGTAAAGGTAAAGGCCCTCCCGTTGATCGTCGATTTGCTTGAGCGGGCCCAGTAACATCTCCATTGGAGACTTTGTTGTTACTGTGTCTGGCATATCGAATACTCTCGGTAGCTTGCCGGGCTCTCCGAGAGGGGCGGAGGAATCGAACTTGGGTCGGCCATGTTGGCTGCGTACAAGGCAGACGCCCTACCCGCTGTGCTATCGCTCCAGCCCTGTGCTCACGCAGCCAACATGGCCGACCCAGACAGAAAGCTCCCCCAAAAGGCACCCGAGGGGGGTGGAGCGATAGCACAGCAGGTAGGGCATTTGCCTTGCACTCGGCCAACCCGGGTTTGATTCCCAGCATCCCATAGGGTCCCCCGAGCACTGTCAGGAGTGATTCCTGAGTGCAGAGCCAGGAGTAAACCCTGTGCATCACCGGGTGTGACCCGAAAAGAAAAAAAAAAACATAACAACAAAGTGCGCCTGAGACTATCACCATCCTATTGGGTCCTTCAGTACCAGCGGCTGGTACCCCCACCCTAGAAACCTCTTTCAGGGACACCCTTTTCTCTGGAGGAACCATCCTGGAAGCACCCAGCTTAGAAGCCACAAAGCTGGGAGGGTGGCGGGGTGCATCGCAGGACAACCTCAAAGTCTGCAGGACGCTCCTAGACGCAGCTCTCAAGGTCTTAGCTGCCTCCATTTACCTTTCTGACAGCACAGCACTACAGTCTGGTGAAGGCTGGTGAAAAAATCACATCGGCTTAAGCCCTGAGTTGGCTGTGCCAAGCAAGTAAGTTCAGAGGATGAAGAAACCGGAAGTGGGGGCTGGAGCCATAGCACAGTGGGGAGGGCGTTTGCCTTGCACGCGACCAACTTGGGTTCGATTCCCAGCATCCCATAGGGTCCCCTGAGCACCGCCAGGAATGATTCCTGAATGCATGAGCCAGGAGGAACCCCTGTGCATAGCTGGGTGTGACCCAAAAAGCAAAAGAACAAACAGAAAAAAAAAAACTAGAAGAACAGGAGGAGGGACTATCTAGTGGCAGGAGGGTTGGGCTAGTGAAGCTTCTCTCTGAGCAGAGGCTCAGTCTAGCAACGGGTTTCACAGGCAAGGACCTCACTTCCGGAGAGAATATTCCAGGAGACAAGGCAGACAAGAGGGCTGGGGCAGTTGGTGTGAGGGAGGAGGGCGGCGGGGGAAATCACAAGTCCATGCATGTGAGTAGAACATGAAGTTCTCCAAGAACTTTTCCATCTCTTTCCTGTGATCAGCTCCTCTTAACCCCACACACCCCATTTCTGTCCACGTCTCTTTCTCTGTTACGGTCTTTGCCTTGCACAAAGCAAGTCTGCAAGGATTCTGCAGCTTCAGAAACACAGGTGTACTGCTGAACCATGACTGTGGGTAGGGGGAGGTGGGCAGGTGCTCTGGAGACCATATGGGGATCGAACCTGGGTCCACCGCGTGCAAGGTAAACACTCTCCCTGCTGCACTATCAGTCAGGTAAAACAGGCCTTCATCTTTTTTTTTTTTGGTCACACCAGTGATGCACAGGGCTTACCCCTGGCTCACGCACTCAAGAATTACTCCTGGCAGTGCTCGGAGGACCATACGGGATGCTGGGAATCGAACCCAGGTCGGCTACATGCAAGGCAAATGCTCTACCCACTGTGCTATTGCTCCAGCCTCCCCTCACCTGTTTTGAAGTAACCCCAGCACCAAAGGCTTCACTCAAGGTTTGGGTGAGCTGTATGCAGTGGCCAATATGATATAAGCTTCTTCCTGAAAGGGCAGCGATTTCATAGGACCTGACAATGAACATGTTTTAAATCTTTGACTATGATAGGAAAATAGTACTCGAAAGGAATATGGTGAGAGAGGAACCTCGGTCCCCTGAGTGCCCACACCACATAGCTCCATATCCATGAAGTGTCCAAATATGCATCTTCAGAGAGAGAGAAAGAGAGAGAGAGAGAGAGAGAGAGAGAGAGAGAGAGAGAGAGAGAGAGAGAGGCCAGCCAGGGTCTTCACATCAGGGGCATTACTCGTTCCTCTGAGGCATCACTATTCCATGGTGGTGGGTGGAATAGTAACGCTCTAGTATTGGATGGATGGGCTGGAGCGATAGCACAGAGGTAGGGCATTCGCCTTACAAGCGGCCAACATGGCCGACCCGAGTTCGATTCCTCCGCCCCTCTCGGAGAGCCCGGCAAGCTACCGAGAGTATTCGATATGCCAGACACAGTAACAACAAAGTCTCCAATGGAGACGTTACTGGGCCCGCTCGAGCAAATCGATGATCAACGGGAGGGCCTTTACTTACTTACTTACTTAGTATTGGATAGGGGCGCTGATAGTAAAACTCTAAGAATGTCCTCAAAATGATTCGTTGGTGGGTTAAGCGGGTGAATTTTTCTATAACAGGTGAATTCAAAAGTGTGAAAACCTCCTGTAAACTCAAGGCGAGGGGATGGGGAGGGGCAGGGAAGAGGGCAGTCCCAGGCTGGGGAGCAGGGTCCCAGCCTGCTTGCGGCCCTGTCCTGGGAACTGAAGTTCAACTCAGAGACGCTTCTGCGTCCTGCTGCCTTCAAAGGGGCCTTGGGGCACCCTGGTCACAAGTAGAACTTGATGCCAGTTAGTTGGACAAAGAAAGCCTTCTTTCTTCCCAGCAGGGCTTGGCTTCATGGGTGTATAATCTAATTAGCATAATACTGGAAAGGCCTTTTCTCCCTCCTGGCCTGTCCTAATTGGCAAAAGGAAGTTCTGAGGCATTCTGGAATGTTCTGAGGCAGAGGCAGAGACAGTCACACATGTCCAAGAAGACATCTGATTCCAGACCCTGCCCTTCCCACTTACCACCAGTGGTCTTCAAAGTATCAGCCTACCTGTTTGAGCACTTCTGCAGAATTAGGACGGCCCCTCCCGGCGTGGACACGACATCCGGCCGTTTGGCATTACATAAGAGTACTTTGGGGAGTGGGCTGGAGCGATATCACAGCGGGTAGGGTGTTTGCCTTGCATGCGGCTGACCCGGGTTCGATTCCTCCGTCGCTCTTGGAGAGCCCGGCAAGCTATCGAGAGTATCTCACCCGCACGGCAGAGCCTGGCAAGCTCCCCGTGGAGTATTCAATATGCCAAAAACAGTAACAACAAGTCTCACAATGGAGATATTACTGGTGCCCGCTTGCGAAAATCGATGAACAACGGGAGGACAGGGCTACAGTGCTACTTTGGGGAGTACTCTTTTTTTTTTTTTACTTTATATTTTTTCCCACGTTATATACTGTGGTTTACAAAGCTGTTCATGACGTCAACCCCAATCCCACCACCACTATGACCTTCTCTCTACCACTGTCTCCATTTTCCCACCCCCCCTCAAGTCTGCCCCCCGTAGCAGGTCCTCAATAATTTATTTTACAATGCCTGTTACCACTTAATGGCTAACGGAATGATTAAAAAAAATTCTGTAGAAGAAAACTTGTGGAAATTGTTGCATCTCACCATGGGGACATTAAGTCCTAGTCGGAGGGTTTACTAAGCTGTTGTTGCAAGTGAAGCCTTGTGGATTTATGTTTCTGTGAATTGAATTTGGTTGGCTTCTGCGTGGTATCCCAGGCAATCTGGTTCGCTGCTACTGGGATGTTAGTATTGTAGAATTTGGATATGTTGCTGCACGCTCCAGGATATTCAGAATATTTACTCGGGCAGTCCAGCTGGAGTTATGGCGGTGGCTTTCTGGGTTGG